TTATGTATGTAGGCTGTTGAGATAAGTCCATTGGTGGATTCAACTTGAGTAAGTGTATCACGCAAAGGTGTGGGGAAAAAAGAAGGAAGGTGTCCTGCCCTGCGTATTAAGCGCATGGCGCAGTTGTAAAAATTGATGGAACCATTTATGATTCAGGCCAAACCCTAATCGGACTTGTTGAAAAGATTTTAGGGTTCCAACAGAGTATAGTTGAAGTTAGGACTCCCGCTCAGTTTCACCTCTAAAATTCCATCAGCCGGTTAAGTTCAGTCAGCACTTCATTCCACCAAAGTGTGGTACAACTAGTGTATCCCACAACTTCCAACGAGTTTTTAGCCCCCCACCCTACCTTATACAAGAAAATAAGATGTGGGGTTGGGGTTGTAAAGAAAGGTGGGAGAATCTAAATCCTGTAATGGGTTTTTTTTAAACATGGAGTAGGAAAGAGGGTATGTGATAGGAGGACATATGGGAATCACACCGCTCCCATCCCACAATGTGCTGGAGTTGAGCTACTGTGAAGTATACCTACGGATTAGGGGCTGACAGTCCCCCTTGATCTATGGGGTATTTGAAAAATTCTAACTTGTTAAAGGTTTGCTTTTTATCCTGTTTCCATGAGTTACAGAAAACAAATTAGACATTACACATTTTGTAGTCTCACCTACCATCACCTGATGGGGGATCAGGAAGGAATTTTCTTCCCTGCAGGAGCAAATTGGATCATGCTTGCTGGGTTTTTTTTTGCCTTCCACTGGATCAACTGTGGGTATAGGATTATAACTTCTTTTTTTTTTTAATGGTTGAACTGGATGGACTTTTGTATTTTTTCAGCCAGACTAACTATGTAACTAATAGCAGCCTATCCCCTCATTGCTAACCTGTTAACAGCTGGTGAATTTTTAAGCAGCATGGTATAGGTATATACTCAAAAAAACCTACTCCAACTCATGATTATGTTGAGCATATTTCCTGCATATACCAATATTCAGTTATTCATACATACAGATAATATTCAGCAAATTGTTCTAGGGGAACACTGAAAGTAGTTTTAGGGCTCTTTCTATCAGAGCTTCTCCTTAGGTGGATCCCCTGCTGAATCAGAGCTGAATGGAACAGATGTGAGTGTGTTCATGTCTGTGCCTGTTCAGCGTGTCTTCATTTACACAGACGTCTCCGTTTACATCAGACTATTCTTGATTTGTCATGTTTCAGTTTTAGAAAAATAGAAAAGGATGCAGTTCATTTTGTTTTTTTTTTCCTTCCAGATCTTAAGGGACTCGAAGGTAGGGGGGTGTAAACAGACACAAGTCTATTTCCATCAGCCTACCCATAGACCCACATGGAGCCTCAGATCAGGTCTGCCTGAAAAATGGACAGGTGGACCCAGGGGCGGACTGACCATTCGAGCACTCGGGCTCTACCCGAGGGCCCGTGGTCAATAGGGGGCCCCATAAAATGCCCCTGGTACCTTTTTTATAGGCTTTTTTGGGTGTGTTTTGAGTGTGGGCAAGGACACAGGGGCCCCATAATCCCCAATTGCCCGGGGGCCCCATGAGTTTTCAGTCCACCCCTGGGTGGACCTGATCCAAATGCCTTTGTGAATGGGTCCTTACTGGCTGGATCATCAGGTGAAAATAAGTCTGTTATTTTTTAACTTTTTCCTTTTAATAGACCAACCTTTCCAAACAAAGAGCAGTTCGATAGTTGGGACAAACCATTAACACAGACCTGAGTGTCTAAAAGGGTCAGCTTTTATTCATTTATGTAAAATCTTTATCCCAAAAGGAAAACAAACTGTTGCTGTAACTGCATAAAATGTGTTAGTTGAGTTTGGCTTTAATATGTTGGTCAAGTCCATCTAAACCTGCTAGTGCATCCAACACCCTCTTCCCAGATAGACAATGTCCAAAGGTGTCTCCATTATACCTCTATCCAGAGTAGAGACACCCACTGACAGGAAGTATATTGCTTTCCAGGTCACCAGGTGAAAGTAAAGAGAAATAAAGCCTAAAAAAGAAAATTAATGCAGCCACAACATCTATGGATTGGTAAGCTGCAATATATACAATTTATGTTTTTAAAATACCACTTTAAAGTGGTTCTAAAGGCAGAAGGTTTTTTTTTTTAACCTTAAAGCATTCCATGCATGCATCTCCCCCTAGCCTCCCCATAAATATTTACCTGAGCCCGATCCATCACTGTGCTCGAGAGCAGCATCGCTGCTCACTCTCCTCACTGGCTGAGAGGCAGCAGCGGAAGCCACTGGCTCCTGCTGCTGTCAGTCACAGCCAGTGAGGAGGGAGCAGGGGGAGGGGCTGAGCCATGCTCTGTATGTCAATGGACACACGGCACGCAGCTCGGGATAGAGCCTGCATGAGTGCCCCCATAGCAAGCGGCTTTCTCTTGGGGCCCTCAGCAGGGGGGAGAGCCAGGAGCACCGGTGGGTACCCACGCAGAGGAGGATCGATTGTTGCATTAATAACACCACTTTGTAAAAGTGTATTAAGAACTACCTGAATCTGCCGCACTATACTATAAAGTAACTGAAAGTGGGGCATATATATATATATATATATAATTTTTTTTTTTTTTTAATTCCTTTATAAAATTTTTGCAGAGTAGCCAAAAATGTAAAATATGAAGCGCAGAAAAGTTACATAGCAAATGGCAGTATACGGGTCAAACATAACCAATAATCAAGTAAGCAAACAGCAGCATGGTAAAAACCAAGATAGGCATGTACAAAATAAAATCAAGTGCATGGTACTGTGTGACCCCGGCCGGCTGATATGGCAATGGTCCAAATACGGGTAACCAACAACACGGGCCACACGGACAACCGGCCATCCAAAGATCTCAGACATGTGAAATAGAGAACCCACCGGGTATCTCCGGCGACCAACTGAGAACACTATTTCCACAAAGAATTTCCTGTCAATTGGGAAATCAACAAAAAAAAAAACTATGGTTACACAGGGGAATCATGAAAAATAAAGGAAAAAACAGGGCACAGAGGGAAGAGAAAAGGGGCAAATGATAAAAGGGCGGATGAAATTGGAGAAGGAAACTAGAAAAAAAAAACGGGGAAAATGAAGAGAAGGATGGACAAGGAAGGACCAGACAAGAGACCAATAAAAATAAGGCAGAAAAGGTAGAAGAGGAGAGCAAATCAGCCCTCCCATCCTGGGGACCTGAACAGCAAACAAACGAAGACAAGCCAGACATCCAAGCCCCTTCAATCCCCTCTTGGGCAGCAGTGGATAAATGGTTAGCACTTCTGCCTGGCAGTACTAGAGTGATTGGTTCCAATCCCAGCCACGGCACCTCCTGCCTGGAGTTTGCATGTTCTCCCTGTGCCTGTGTGGGTTTCCTCTGGGTACTCCGGTTTCCTTCCACACTCCAAAGACATGCTGATAGGTTAATTGGATCCTGTCTAAATTGGCCCTTGTATATGACTGTGAATTAGTTACCTTAGATTGTACACCCCTTGAAGGTTAGGGACTGATGAGAATGTACAATATATATGTAAAGTGCTGCGTAAATTAACGGCGCTATATAAGTACCTGAAATAAATAGTAAATAAATAAATCTGTCTCAGAGGGCACATGAAGATAAGAATCAGTATAGACGAAATATTGCCATGGTCTCCAAGTGTCTCAAAAAACATCCCCTCGGTCATACAGAGAGGCAGTAAGGTCCTCCATATCTCGCAGCTCATTAACTTTAGAAAACCAAAGGGACCTTGTAGGTGGGTGTACAGATCTCCAGCACAAGGGGAATACAAGCCTTGGATGCGTTTAGCAATTGAATCATCAGAGAGGCCTTTTATTTTTTCAGAGATATTCTTTTAACTGGTGCAGTCCACGTTTAAAATCCGTACTGCCATAAAAGTATGTTTAGGGATTTATTGAATTCCCCCAAATCTTGCCAACATGTGTTAACTTTGTATGAGCTGTTTCTAGGTATTGTGTGTAACTATACTGTATGTGTATGGTGAGTGTCGTATTTGCATATCTGCTTCCTGCTTAGTAGTGCAAATGCAATCAAAGTATACCAGACTGTTTGATGTTTCATGTCAATAAGGACTGTAGAAAATGTATGTCCCAATACCCATGTGATCTTGCTGCCTAGGCTTTGGATCACATGAGGAAAGGTAACAAAATGACTATGGGATTTGGTATTGCTGACATGTATCCTATAGATCCATTTGAAGTATGAGTTTTAGTCAAATGTCCCCTTTGAAGCCCAACGCCGTGCTATTTTTTAAAAAGTAAATTTGTGTTTCAGCAGTATTAAAAAAAAAAAAACACCTAAAAAGTGCCTGTAGTTTTTGCTTTCATTGCAGAACTGTCCCCATGCAGTAATTTTTTTGGCCATAAAATATCCTCAGTCTTCCTGGTTGAATGGCGCTCAGCATTGCTGAACATGGAAGACAGAAGACACATTAGTGCTCCACTCTGCTTTTCTGATGACCACCTAGTGCTTGAGAAAATCAGGTCATTGTCCTGAAACAGGTACTTCGGACAGTCATTTAGACCTTTTAGATTTCTCTGGCTGCATGCTTGTTATAGGCCATGCTTGTTATCGGTCAGTTTCTCATTAGGCAGTATAACCAGGATGAAGATTAAAGCCTGTACCTTTTAAAAGTCACCAAAAGCATCTCCCTATTTGCTATCCATACAGATTTACTTTAAAGGAATTTTAGGGCTTTGTCCAAGATGTGCACAAGATTGAACCGAACAGATATGTGGACACGATAATGTTATGTCTCCAGTAGAAGTGGACAATGAAGTCAGGCTACTGGGCAGCTGCTGTTGGAAGATTGTTTTATCAAACTTTCCTCTGGAAAGTCCATCCAATATCCAATTTATCTTTTCTTGACAACATGTACATAGAAATGTTGTGCCACCTGTGTAATAGTCATCTGCTTTTGATTGAAAGCAAAACCTAAACTGTTGATAGATTGTCATTTTTAATTTTGGCGATGTCTATTGCAGTGCAAGTGGAAGAGAATGGTCTACAGATGAGTGATGCGGTACTGGTTCACTTATATGTCCAAAGCATGGACGACTTTGCAGCCATCAATGCTGAATATGGGAGACTCTTCTCAGTGGCACCCCCTGCTCGGTAAGCTAATCTCTTGTCTAATTTTAAAAGGTACTTATTAAACTGCGCTTTTAAATGGGGACATGATTACCAACGTAAGCTACATTAGCAGGAAAGTGATGCAGAATGTTTTTATTACACACACCTGGATCTCTCATGTGCTGCTGTAACTTTTAATGAACTATGGGTGTTTTAAAGCCCATCCAAATTTTTTAGGGACCACCCCAAAGAGGCACTTTCATTAAATAAATAAACACATACATTCCTGTATTCCAAAGGGTCAGTTGGTTGTTCTTGGGTCTCTACTTCTTTTCTCCTACTGGCAACTGCCATAAGAGCTCAGGCAGGGTCATAGGAAGTGGGTTGACTGATACTAGCAGTCCTTCAACCCAGAAGAGTAGTGACAAATGGTAGAGGAGCAAACATTCTGCAGAGGCAGCACTAAATTGACCCCAGTTCACACTGATGCAGTATGGGAAACAAAGCAATTCCTGTGCGTTTCCCGCACTGCATAGCAATCACACTGTGTTCTGCGATCCGCTGCAGGTGTCAGTGAACAGTTAACAACACCCCAAAAGCAGGTCGCCAACACAGTGTGTTTGCTGAACCGGATTGCATGGGTATAAACACCCATGTTATCTGGTTCCAGTACGAATATAAAAAAGCTGCCCACACCTTTTTGATGTGTTGCGATTTGAGCCATCAAAAATGAATGGGCTCAAATCGCATCACATAGAATTGCATGTGATTTGCACAGGAATGCGGTTCGATTCCTGTGCAATTCACATTCAGTTTACTGTGTGAACCTATGCTCAAGGTGAGTTGCTGAAAAGGTGAGTATTACTGAAAAAGCTGCTTTGTTTATTTTTACAAACTGCTGGGCTGTTTATTTTTTCCTTTAAAGCAGAAATCTTTATTGTTTTTAAAATTGTTTTTTTTTGTTTTCTTATTTTGCATACCCCAGTGCAGGTACAATAATATATTAGAGTAGGACCACAATTGCACAGATATGGTGAGAGTGCTATGTAGTTTCCACTTAGATTTGCAATGTACAGTATACAGCTGAGACCCCTCTTTTCTTTAGCATGTCAGGAACAGGTTTTAGGCTGGAGTTACATCTGTCCACATGCAGTACCTGGCATTAAACCCTGTGTTTCTGCGTCACATTTTGTGTACATATTGCAACACGTTTCCATTCACATTGAATGGCACCCTTATTCACATATACAGAATAAACAAATGCACCTGTGCTATAGTGCAAATGTGGGAATGCTTCATGCATTGTTGGGTGCTGTTTCCTAAGAGTAATGCAGGCATGGTTTTTTTAACGTCTTGAGGCTCCTTAAAGTGGAACTTTAGTCAGAAAATGTAGTCTTGCTAGAGCACTTTTAAAGGCTGCAAAAATTTAAAACGAATGACAGATTGCAAGAGATAGAAGGACCAACCCCAAAAAAATTCTTCAAATATATTAATAGTAAAAAGGTTCGGTCTGAGCATGAAGGCCCTTTACAAAATAATCTAGAGTGGGTGACTGGGAACTAAGAGAAGGCAAATTTATTTAATACCTTCTTCAGCTCTGGGTATACAAAGGAGCATGGGGGAGCTCTTGTCCATAATGGGCATGGTATTGACACCGCCCCAGATGATCCACATTGGCTCACAATTGATATGATCCAAAAATATTTAGACAGAATAAAGGTGAATAAAGCACCTGGACCGGATGGCATACACCTATGGGTCCTTAACCATTAGCCGCCCGGCCAATGGCCGTTTGGCGGCTTCAGTTGTGTCCCTGCATTCCGGGTGCACGCCATTTGGCGTGCTCCCGCACATGCGCCGTTTGCGCTAATGCAGAGCGGCGCAGCAGTGCGATCTGTCAGCGGCCGTGCACCTCGGACACGGCCGATGACAGATCCGAGTACCGGCACCCGTTGCTGGTACCATGTGACCTGCTGTGACCAATCACAGCAGGTCACATGACACTTGTATACAATGGATGGCTTCATTCATGATGCCATCCATTGTATACTAGTGCCTAGCTGTGAATGGTCACAGCTAATCACATGCACACGTCATGTGATTAGCTGTGACCAAATCACAGCTAAGCACAAAAAAAAAAAAAAAAAAAAAAAAAAAAAAGCTGAATGAATCGATTTCATTCAGGTAAATGCTTGCTTATAGCAAAGTAATTCTTTGCTATAAGCAAATTGTGTAAAAAAAAATAAAAAATACTGATCACTTCCCCAAAGTAGTACAATGTTACTATGGTAACATTGCACTACTTTGGTCAAAGTAAAATATGAAAAAAAAATCTTAAAAAAAAATAAAAAAAAATGTAATAAAAAATTAAATATAATAAAAAAATAAAAAAAAAAAAAAAAATATATATATATTTTTTCATACTGTCACCAGTCAGTGTCCCTGTTCACCGCCATGCCAGTTAAATGATGACTCTGTACTGCACTGGTGACAGTATGTAAAAAAAAAAAATAGTGAAAATAATTTTTTAAATTTTTTCATTTTCCGAAAAATTATGACAAAAAAATACAACTTCAAAAAACTCGCCATGCCTCTTATGAAGTACGTCGGACTGTCTACTCTGCAAAAAGGGGTCATTTGGGGGATATCTGTACTGTTCTGACATTCTGGGACCTCAAGAAATTAGATTGGCCGTCAGTACTTCAGGATTGATTAATATTCAGATATATACCATAGTTTGTGAACTCTATAACTTTCCTACAAACTAAAAAATACATCCTAATTTGGGTTATTTTCACCAAAGACATGTAGCAGAATACATCTCGGCCTAAATTTATGAAGAACAATTATTTATTTGTAAACTTTTATAACAGAAACAAAGAAAAATGTGTCTTTTTTTCAAACTTTTTGGTCTTTTTTTGTTAATTTAGCAAAAAATAAAACTCCAGCGGTGATTAAATACCACCAAAAGAAAGCTCTAGTTGTGTGAAGAAAATGATAAAATTTTAGTTTAGGTACAATGTTGTATGACCGCGCAATTGTCATTCAAAGTGTGAGAGCGCTGAAACCTGAAAAATGGCCTGGGCAGGAAGGTGTAAAATTGCACGGTATTGAAACGGTTAAAGAATTGAGCTCTGTCATTTCAAAGCCATTGTTTCTAATTTTTAGGGACTCTTTAATGACTGGCATAGTACCACTGGATTGGCATAAGGTCAATGTGGTGCCAATATTTAAAAAGGGGTCAAAATCTTTACCAGTAATTACAGACCTGTTAGTTTAACTTCTATAGTTGAGAATATACTGGAGAGTTTAATAAAAGACCACATAGATGAGTTCTTGCTGGAAAAAAATATTTTAAGCAACAGACGGCATGGATTCATGAAAGACAGAAGTTGTCAAACAAATCTGATTTCTTTTTATGAGGAGGTGAGCAAAACCTTGGACAGAGGGGTGGCGGTGGACGTGGTATACTTGGATTTTGCAAAAGCGTTTGACACAGTTCCCCACACACAGCTAATGTGTAAGGTAAAGTCTACAGGCTTGGAAAAATCTGTATGTAAATGGATAGAAAACTGGCTAAAAGATGGTATTCAGACAGTAGTGGTTAATGATTCATACTCTGAATGGTCTGGGGTCATCAGTGGTGTACCCCAGGGTTCAGTGTTGGGATCCTTACTTTTTAATATATTTATAAACGATATAGGGTCTGAGATTGAAAATCCAATTTCAGTCTTTGCAGATGACACCGAGCTGTGCAGTGGAATAATTTCCTTACAGGATGTCTTCAATTTACAAGCCGACCTCAATGCACTGTTTAATTGGGCAACTATGTGGCAAATGAGATTTAATGTTGATAAATGTAAGGTTCTGCACTTGGGGGTTAAGAATATGCATCATACATACTAGGGGGAGAACAACTGAGGGAATCAATGGTGGAGAAGGATCTGGGAGTTCTGGTAGATCACAAGCTTAATAATGGCATGCAATGCCAAGCTGTGGCTTCTAAAGTGAGCAAAATTCTCTCTTGTATTAAAAGAGGTATAGACTCCAGAGAGAGAGATATCATATACCCCGGTACAAATCATTAGTATTGCCTCATCTGGAATATGCAGTTGAGTTTTGGGCACCAATTCACAAAAAGAACATTGGGGAACCGGAGAAAGTACAGAGAAGGGCAACTAAACTGATAAGAGGCATGGAGGAGCTCAGCTATGAGGAAAGATTAGAGGAAGTGAATGTATTCTCTCTTGAGAAGAGGAGATTAAGGGGGGATATGATCAACATGTATAAATACATCAGTGGTTCATATAGTGAACTCGGTGTAGAGCTATTCACCCTGAGGCCATCACAGAGAACACGGGGGCACCCTTTACGCCTGGAGGAAAAGAAATTTAATCTCCAAACACAGAAAGGTTTTTTCACAGTGAGGGCTGTGAAAATGTGGAATAGACTCCCTCAAGAGTTGGTTCTGGCCAGCTCAGTGGATTGCTTCAAAAAAGGCCTGGATTGTTTCTTAGATACACAGAATATAACTGGATACTAACATTTATAGGTAAAGTTTATCCAGGGAATATCCGATCGCCTCTCGGGGGACCAGGAGGGAATTTTTTTTCCCTTCAGGTGCAAATTGGATCATGCTGTGCTGGGTTTTTTTTTTTTGCCTTCCTCTGGATCAACTGTGGGTGTAGGATTATAACTTTTTTTTTTTTCCATGGTTGAACTGGATGGACTTTTGTCTTTTTTTCAGCCTGAGTAACTATGTAACTATGTTACTTTTGCAGGTATAGCTATGTAAAACTTTAAAAATAAGGGAATATAAGTGAATTAGAATGTGTGTGTGTATATATCTATATATGTATGTATGTATGGATACCCCCCAGCCAGAGTACTAGGTGTCATTCTAGACTCCAATTTGTCTTTCCAGCCCATGATCCAATCGCTGACAAATTCATGCAGACTCCACCTCCGCAACATCTCCAAAATACGCACGTTCCTAACTCCTGAAACTACAAAGCAACTCATTCA